TAAGATAATTAATTAATGAAATATTTAAATAAGAAATTAAAATAAATACTAATTCTTTTATTTAAATAAGTGATTAAATAAAGTTATTAAATTTAAAATACATAAAACCAATTAAGATAATTAATTAATGAAATATCTAAGAAATAAAATTAAATATTAATTTCTTACTTAATTAAGTGATTAAATAAATAATTAAACAAAGTAATTAAACAATAAATAAATAACATACATAACTAATTAAGACAATTAATTAAAGAAATATTTAAATAAGACATTAAAATAAATATTATTATTTTTATTTAAATAAGTGATAATTTGAATAAAGTAATTAAATATTAAATAAATAATATACATAACCAATTAAGATAATTAATAGAGAAATATTTAAACGAGAAACCAAATTAAATATTAATTTTTTTATTTGAGTAGGTGTTTAAAATAAATAATTAAATAAGGTCCAATTAAGATAGTTAATTAATGAAATATTTAAAAGAGAAACCAAAATTAAATATTAATTTTTTATTTGAATAAGTGTTTAAAATAAATAATTAAATAATTTATTAAATATACATAATCAATTAAGATAATAAATTAATAAAATATTTAAATGAGAAATCAAATTAAATATTAATTTTTTATTTAAGCAAGTGATTAAATAAATAATTAAATAAAGAAATTAAATATTAAATAAATAATATACATAATCGATTAAGATAATTAATTAATGAAATATTTAAACAAGAAAGTAAATTTAATATTAATTTTTTTAATTTGAATAATTGTTTAAAATAAATAATTAAATATAAAGTGAAAAGTGTTTGATTTTTTAATTTGTAAGTTAAGGGTATTTTTGTCTTTTGAAACAAAATTCTATTTTTGTAATTATATAAACTACTTAAGGGTATTTTTGTCTTCTATTCAATAATAGGCTATTTTGGTTATAGGCAAATTCTTTTTGGTTAAAGTGAGAAATTGGCCCTTTGACTTGGCCAAACTAAAAATTACCCCATAGAAAATAAGCTCTAAGTCTTGCTATTCTTAGAGTCTATTTGACCTGGATTAAAATCTGATTTTAATTTAAGTCAAAGTCAAGCAATCAATGTTAACTACATCTTTCATAGGTCCTACAACTTTTTAATCATACATATCAAAAATTTCTATTATAATCTACTAAAAAATCTAATTTTAATCCTCACCAAACATCATATTAAATATAAATAATAAATAATATTTTTACACGTCTTTTTGGAGCTAACTATGATTTCCCTAATACGATATACAATGAAAAAAAATTCAACTCTTGAATATGAATCCAGAGCTTTCTTCATCGTGGGAATCCTAGTTTTATTGAACCTCTTGCAACTCAAGAAGAGGTCGGACTCCATGTGAAGTACCTTCGGTCGATCATCAATTTAAATTGTAAATGAATAGAAATGAGAGGTATATAAGTGGTAGTGCTTGTAAATCTAATGAAATATGTGGATAAAATGATTATAAACAGATAATAAACAAGAGGCAGACAAGTTCTTAAACTATAAGCACATGCAAAAATGATGTAAATAAATTTCAAAAGAGAGAAGGGAAGCCAAACTTAATGCAACAATCTCCTAGAAAAAGCTTCTCCAGATGATGAACACTCTGGAGAATTTCCCTCAACATTTCTTTAAGCAAGTCATAAGCAGGGTTTAATTTGTTAGTATAGAAAAGGAGGGTTGGGAAGTTCATTATCACTATCCAACTCCCTTGAAATTTCTAATCCTTTAAAATTTTGAGGCCAAATTTCCATCACTGGATGACTTTGGGAATCAATACTCAAAGTTCTTGTGGCAATGTAAGATCAAGATTTCCAATTGAGGGCTACCTGAAAGCATTTCATCAAGCAGAGATTGACTCAAATTAATATGAATTGCTATTATTGAGTTGATCCCAGTGTGTCTTCCATTTTAAAGTTCAGATTACAATACAAAATACTTTGATTTTCTGATAGATAAACAAGACAACAAGAGCATAGGCGCCAATGAATCCAACATTCTTTATAACCATCATATCCTCTAGGCATAGCTCTTTCAACTTCATATTCCAATGCAAAACGAACCCACTAACTAAGATCGAGAGATAAAGACCGACCAGAAAGATCATTAAATTCAACACAGCCAACGGTGAATTTTTGAATCTTCTGACTTTTCCAAAGCATCAGATTTCAGTTAACAAAGTCTCTGAACTTCTCTGAGCCATCTTCGTCATGTGTGTAAAAAATAAAGGCATGGCGATGAGGATCAATTAGAAAAGAAAATTTTAATCGAATGAGTAAAAATGATATACAAACTTTCAATTTCGCAAGTAAATATAATTCAAAGCATTTTTCGATTATGCACATTTTTGCCATGGTGACGATTATGGCCTTTTACCAACATTGTCAATTTTTTTGGGTGACATTTCATTGTTTAGGGATCCATCTTAGCGCTTTTCTATTTTTAGTTAATTTAAAAGTATTTTCATCTTTTTGCTGTTTTTTAAGTTTTATTTGAATTTATCTACAGGATTAGGATCTCAATGTGATTAGGATTTGCTTTGAGTCTTTAAATACATGTGAAGGTTGTGAAAATGTTACATTCGCTTTTCGATAAATAATATTTCAGTTTTTCTCATTATATTTTATAGATTTCAATATTTCTTACGTCCGTTCGAGCAAAATTTGAGTTTTATATATCCATTCGTACATATGTTATGAACAAGATACTTTTATTATCAATCATGTTTTCATCTTGTGTCAGGTAGATTTGTTTTAAGTTTGTAAATACGTGTTAAGGTTGTAAAAACATTGCATTCGTTCTCGTTATATTTGGTAGATTCAATATTTCTTAACACAACTGTTGTTCTTCGATTTCTTGGAAGAAGGTTTGGTCATTTTGCTGAGGTAAATAATAATGAACGGCATTAACTATAAAACATAAGCTAAATCTTATTCACAAAATTATTGCACACTCAGTTTTTGGGAATACATACTTACCCTTATACGTACAGCACTAGACTTGAAAGCAAAAACAAAAAATAAAACGTTACAATATTGACATCTTTATGACTAAGATGATCTCAAAACATAGCATATGCTCTGAGCATGTTTGGACACACGACAATCGATAGAACAAATTCAGAATGTGAATGAATTGTTCTTCCAAACAAACCATCAAGAATAGTCAATACTCGACGAGTCGTCTTCGGAATACAATCTGCGTAAAACGACCTCTGCATTGGGAGAGGATCTTGGCATTCTTAACAGTTTCTGTGCTATTTCAAAGAATAAATCTGGCGGATGTGAATCGATTGGTTTTGCCTGGATAACCATTTTTTCGAGCTTGCTAGCATTTTTCAACACAAACTCTATAAATGAAAACAATGAGGTGCTGTCTACATACCATGTAATTGTAACAGTCTTCAAACGCATGTTAAAGGAATCTCGTAACTCTAGCTGTGATTTGAAGTTTCCCCCAACATTGCGGCAAAAAAATTCGCTGCCGTCCTGTAGAGAAGATGTCTGTTACGATTGTGTTCAGAACCTTGAGTGCAACATAAACCAGAAAAATTGCATGAATGCACGAAAGAAATGTTCGATGGCTTGTACTATGCAACAAAGGAAGAAACTAAAATCGAATAAGTTTTCGTTTTTATCACCTCATATGATCTGAGATCCATGATTTCTAAAATGGACAAATCTGGTGAGATTTCAAGGAGGTTCAAAATTCCGGCAAGCACATCTTTCCCAATATAAGTATCTACGCTTAAACGCTTCAAATTTAACGGAGGTGAAGGCAAATCGTTCTTCTCCATTGCAGATAGCTCCTGGTATAACCAGTGGATCAAGTTGCGATCCCCAAAGAGGAGCTTTATTAGTTAACTTGTATAAAATGTGTGTGTGTGTGTGTGTGTGTGAGAGAGAGAGAGAGAGACCTTAATGAAGTGACTTCCTAGTGAAAGCTTCTCAACATGATGAATGCTCTGGAAAAAATCCCTCACCATCACCATTTCTAGGTCATCATACCCTGGGGTAGAAAAATGAAGGGTTGCCTCAACCAAAGATGGGACGTTCACTTGCAAGAAGAATTTACAGTACAAACGCCCTGAAATTTCTAATACTTGAAGATTTGGAGTCCAAATTTCCAACGCGGAATCTATTTCTTCACCAAAATGATTATGCAAATCAAAATGAATAAATAGCTTCTTCAAACTACCAGAATGAATACTCATCTTCTCCGAGGTGTACATGATCAAGATTTCCAATTGAGGGCTGCCAGATAACACTTTGTCAATCTCATCTTGACCCCAACGCACAGTATTAATTGTTAAACTCTTGAGTTGATCCCAATGTATTTTCCCAGAAACCTCCATATTACAATCCATGATGCGCAATTTTTTGATTGATGAACCAGAGAATAGTCGCTGAGTCATCCAGTATCTGTCATCCAAAGTAACGAAGAAATAATCCAGGTCTAGCTCTTCAACTTCATGTTCCAAAGCGAAACGGACCCACAAATTAAGATCGGTACATGAAGATGGTTCATAGACATCTTTAAAATCAATAGTGAATTTCTGAATCTTTTTACCTTTCCAGAGCATCAGTGTCCGGTTAACGAAGTTTGTGAACTTATCTAACTCACCTTCTTTAGGTTGAAAATAGATGTAGGGAACAAAGGTCCAGAGGTCTTTCCATCTTTTGGAAAGAATTGTCGTCCTAACAACATAATCCATGGGCAAGAATGAGAAGATGAAGTGGACTACCGAGTCAGGCAACTCACTAAGTCGATCCAGGGGTTCACTGCTATTCAGTTCTTGGCTTTCATAAAGTTCAAAATCTGAGGGAAAATCATTCTCCATGATTGACTCAGTCGGCAGCAGCTGTTTGTTTCTTTGATTTCTTGGAAGAAGGCTTAGAAAAGTTAAAAAAGCAACTCCACTAATTCAGTCTTTGTGGCAGTGGTTGGGCTTGGTACAATCTCAAAAGTAAACCTAATGAAAAGAAATAGCCAAACCCCGGAGTTACAGGCCATTTTTTGCGATAATAGATTTTTTTAATAGTGAATTTTTGGAAATATATGATTAAAAAAAATTGAATTTATATGTAAAATAATTTTATTAGAAAAATATATAGTGAAAAGCCTTGCTTGATCTACATTATTTAGAAAAAATACATTTTTAAACAGTAATTTGATATCATTTCAACAACACATTTTTCAATAAAATAATATTACACGCAAATTCAAAAAAATTCTTATTTTTTAACCACATATTTTTCATCAATACACTATTCAAAAATGTATTTTTCCAAAATAATATGGTTCAAACAAGGGCAAAAACTGATTTTTTTATAAAGTGGAGCTCAAACGGAGACTAAGTTTCACTTATTTCTAAGCTGAGCGGAACATGTAGAAAGAGAAAGTTGTCGAAGGCTTGATTGCTTTTTTTGTTTTCCCAATCATGCTATATCTACATCATTTTTGACATCGTTTTTATACTAGTCAAAATTGAATGTACATTGCACGTTATTCTAAAAAAATTTATAATTGCTATAAAATAATATTCGATACCAATTTGTTCGTAGAATTTTATGAGTCACAAATGAACTAAAGAAAATAAAATCTAAGATAGAAATTTAAGAGAATAAAATTGTACTCTTAAAACTTAACTTCTACCATTTACATTTTTTCATGATGATGAAATAGTACAAATAAGAAGCCTTACCTTATATACTACATTTGATATATGATAATTAATTTATAATACACGAAGTTAAGCATCCATTAAAATTTCTAGATGCATGAATAAAAATAAATTCATCTATATCAACTCCAAATTCTTGTAGATCAAGATTCATTGAGTTTAGATTAGTATGAATGTTAATTAATTGAGAATTAATAACATGAATTCATATATGACAAGAATTTTGTAGTATTTATGGCATATTCAAAAATAAAAAATAAAGTATTATTAAAATAATTGAATTGTAGAAACATTAAAATAGTCAAATAAAATAGTTCTTACTTGATATGATATTTAACATACTATAGATTCTGTTACGTAATGACACATCATTTGACAGTTTAAAAAAATTATTTTCTTCCCCAATTATTTTTCGAAACCAAAGAGGATTTTATCCTTAATATAAGGGAAAAGCAGTACACATGGCATTATTCATTTTTTCCTTAGTTTTTAGTAAGTAGTAGGGTAATCTTGAAAGCGAAGGAGAGTTTCCACATTTTCTATAGCACTTCGTAATTCGTATTAAATCTGTCCCAAGAACATTGCTCCAAAAAATGCGCATTAGCGATGTTGGGATGCGCAGCGAAAACACTAAGCCAAGTGGCTTGACGCCTTTATTTAGCAGTCAACATCAATATTGACTGCTAATGCGCACTTAAGTGCGCATAATTTTTTTTTTTATAATTTTTTTTTACAATTTTTCTAAGTTAAAACTTAAATGTTGATTTCTTCATTTCGTTGGTTCTAAATTCAAAATAGCCGCTTGAAGTCTTAAACAAAGAGAATCTCCCATACATTCCTTTTATTTACTATTTAATATTTACATTTGAAAATTATCTTTTTGTTAAAAACTTTGAAAAAAAATGTATACATTTTCTATAGATTTGTTTTAGAAGTTTGGTATATATTATTTATAATTATTAATTATTTTTTTGATTGATTAAAATTTTAAATAATATTAAAATAATAAAATACTTTTTTCCGTGTATGCCTCGCCTAAACTCACTTTCCCCATAACTGGGTCTTTTAGAACACTATCCAAGAATTAAAATTAATATTTTTTTTATTAAATTATTTAAGTAAGATTAGCGCCATTCAGTTTAAATTGATTTTATTAAAATGAAGTTGGGATATGGTTAAGGTAATTGGCACAAAACGTATGAAAAACATTTCAATCTTTCATTTTTTTTTGGTATTTTAGCCCCTATTTTCACCTTTCACTACGGAGAAGGTCATTTTCGTCCTTTTTTCGATAAAATGAAAATTTCAGCTCGATTCAAATAAAACAAAAAATCAATAATAACTAATTGCAATCATAGTCCTAAAATTTTTAAAACATTACGGCTTAATCCTAAATTCTCCTCCACCACCACTTTCACAACCCAAACACCTTCCGGCTACCATACCCGTCGGATTCCACCACTAGCAGCCTTACCTCACCCTCCCCTACCTCGAATCCACCTGAATTTGCCGAAAAATCAAGTCAAAATCTCCAAAACTCGCCAGTTATAATCAAGCCAAAAATCAAGTCGATTCTGGCAAAATCAAGTCATAATCTCCAATTTTGACAACACCCATGCCATGCCCAACATTCCAATGAATTATACACATCAAGGCATCCGTTTACATGGTCATCGATCATCCATAAACACATGGAATCAAAACCAGCAAGCTTGTCTTCGAACACAGAGATTGTGCAACTTTTTTCAGATGAATTTTTCGACGACGGTGGTGGGACCCATGATCGTGGACCACCACTATAAGCACCTCTGTACTCTTCATGGTGCATCCAATGAACATATGGGTCGCTCCCAATTTGGCCTGGAAATGACAGTTTATGGATTTTCTTCCAATGAACAACCTACCCGCGTGAAGGAGGTTTTTTTTTCCATCAATTCATGGCTCAAATGTGATTCAATATACAAATCAACACGCTGGAAATGAAATTCAAGGTCAAAAAGCATTGGGTAATATCTCAATTGCAGAAATTACATAACTTGTTTGTCGAATTTTGGAGTCAAATGATGTTCTTCATAAACCTATAATTGTCGAATTTCGAAAATTTTGGCTTGATCTTCTAGCGAATTCAGGTGGGTTCGAGATAGGGAATGGTGAGATAAGGCTAGTGGGGGTGGAGTCCGGAAGGTATGGCGGCCAAAAGGTGTTTAGGTTGTGAAAGTGGTGGCGGAGGAGAATTTAGGACTAAGCTGTAATGTTTTAAAAAATTTAGGACTGTGATTGCAGTTAGTTATTTATTGATTTTTTTTGTTTTATTTTTGTTTTATGTGAATCGAGGGTAAAATTGTCATTTTATTGGAAAAAGGACGAAAATAATCTTTTTCGCAATAAAATGTGAAAATATGGTTAAAAAATGAAAGGTATGGACGATTTCCACAATAAGTTTAAAAGGTAGGGACGTTTTGTACCAATTACCCTATGGTTAATGAAAATAAATTCTAAAACTCATTTTTTATTGAATCATTCTTAGTGAACACTTTGCCGTATGGTAAAGTGTCATTTGACAGTTAAAAAAACAGTTTTTTATCCAATCACATTTTTACAACAAGGCAAGTGTCAACAATGATGTTAATCTTGAAATGTACAGATGGCAATTTTTTTTTTATTTCAATCATGCTGTAATGTCAGAATTATTGATATAATGGTTGACATAATGCTACGTGGTGCTCCATCATTACATTGTTTAAAATATAGTAATCTTTTCCATCAAATCATTTTTTATCACATACAATTTTATCAACCGACAAAGGAGTTTAGTCCTTAGAAGATGCTACATGTACTAACACTTTTGTACAAACTCTTTTACTTACACTCACAATGGGAATGTGGGGTCTACATGTAGAAATTATTTTAATCCATGTGGGGACCGCATGCATGTGAGAGTGTATAGAAGTTGTTTCGCGCGAGTTCGTCGCTAACAATTAAAAAGGGATCAGAGGATTGTGTAAGGGACAAACCTCTTAAGATAAAGTCCCAAAAAGGGGTGTTCTTTATTGGCGATGACTTTACAATCGGAAAGTAAAAACAGAATGCCTCCAAGGGGCGTAAGCACACGAGTTACTGAAAGAAGTGTTTAAATCTAAACTAAGAAATTTAAAATTACATGTTCTCTGTTCGAGAGTTTTTAATTCGGGGTCCTTTGCTCTATATCTTTTCTTCCTTTTATACTCCCTGGATGATCTCTTTATGATCAACCGCCTAAAAACTGCTTGATCGTTCTATAACTGCCCACTTTCTTCATAATGGCCAACTTGTCATGGAACTACCTTTTCTAACTGCTGCCATTACTCTTTGTCGTTCAACCATCTTCAATTGAATTCCTTGAATCGTAGAACGTGATAGGGCTGCTTAATAACTGCTTTGATAACTGCGCTTCTTGATAACCATAACACTTCATGTTTGTTAATACCTTGGGCGACTCAAAGATTTGGGCGAGAATAGAATAGCAGCTCTGGGCGACTGCATGGCATTCCATTCGCTCAGATCCTGGGCGACTTGCAAGTTTGGGCGATGGTGTTACCGCATTCATGGGCCTTCATCCTGAATTGTCTAATTGGGCTTCGTTCTTTGAACTATCTGATTTGGGGATCTTCCAATTGGGCTTCATTCCTTGGGCCGTTCGATTTGGGCTGAATTTTTATGTGTCAACAATTACTCCCCAATATGGCAGAATTAATATCAATTATTAAATTTTGCCATATTCACTTTTGTGTTTTCAGCAACATTCGAAATTCCCAAAAATTTCAATCATTGTTTTCTTCCATAGCGTGAAAAGGTGCGACGTTTTGCAAACCCTTATAACCCCCAAATACGCCATTTCACTGCACTATTAAATCACGCATCACTTTTTTGCGCTTTTCTCTCACAATTTTACTGTTCATCTCTTTGCTTCCCTGCTACGTAACTCTGAAAAACTCCATTTCATCCCTAATGGCTACTTCACAATCTCAATCTGGCGACTCTTTTAGTTTTGAAGACTTTTAAAAACTCCTTAATCGTCCATACATAACTCCGAACTTTCTCGCACCTGCCAATGTCGAACTCAATAAGTTATACCTAGGTCTTTTCTTCAACAATGCAGAGGCAGTCGAACAAGCGGCGGTGGGCCAACTGTTTCCTTGTACTCAAGACCCTCCATTTCTAAACTCTCTGCCGTTGGGGCCACTTCGCGAAAGAGGTATTCGTACTTGGCCTAAATCTGATATAGTTTTCCTTAAGTGGCATGCTCGCCTTGTGG